TTCTGTATAGAAAGGAGGAAATTGCGACGGTCCGATTATTTTCAGTTCGTGTTTATTCCCTATGGATTGTTATATTCTCACTATTGATGACAGTTTAATAGGAACGATAACATATCAATTATTATTGATGTTGCTGTTGTTAATATCACTGTGATAACAATACTGCCATTATTATCATCGTCACTGTTATCATCATTGCTATTATTTATTACTACAACTACTTTTATAATCATCATTATTATTGTTTTTTTCTCTTTATCATCTTCATCATCACCAATCATCGTTTTTACCATTACTAAATTATTAACAATCTTATCATTAGTATTACCAATTTATTATCATCATTACTATTGTTATTATTATCATCATTCCAATCGTCCTCGTCATTTCATCAAACATAATCGTATTCCAATCGTCCTTATCATTATCATAACTATAATCGTTATCATTATCATTACGATTATTCTGTCCATTACTACAATCCAGAAAAAAGTTCATTCAACTGATATTTAAGTCATAATGTTTTCTTAAAAGTGGAGTCAGCGCGTGAGAAAACTTATAAACCTCTCACGTGGTTGTTTTAATAACCTTCAAGATGAATAAGACATAACTTTCGTGCTTTATTCTACTGATTATTATTATCGCTTTTGAGTTGTGCTGAATTGTGTGAAAAATAATGGTGATTTCATTTATGGAGGGAAAAAAATGTTATAAAAACGTCAGATTCCTTATAACGTGGTTCGTCTATCTCAGCAGCACGTGTGAGAGATGCACGTTCTACAAGCCAAAGAAAATATGAAAAAAGAGATTATTATTTCATGACACGAATATTTTTCATGAGTAAAGAACAGTTGTAGACTTTCTTCATCTAGAGGTTATAATATGTCCTGCTTAATAATGTGATTTTTGGCAAACCACTGGGGCATATGTATAGCACGTGGCAAACACAGCATCTTTTTCTTGATAATTATTTTTTTATGAACAAAAATTCTTCTATGTTACAAGTATATTGAGAATGGAAATCGTGATAATTAACATATTAATGAAAGTCGTGGTGTGCCATCTATTAAAAGTTGGATGAAAAATATAAAATAAAATTTTTAGTTGCCTCCCAATACGAGACCAACGGGAACCCACGAAATCAGATATAACAATGTACATTACTGAAGGATCTGCGAAGTAAATCAAAGTGAGAATATTGATGCTGAATGAATATCAACGTTATTATCAACTGTTTATTTATATGTCAGCCCGTTGTACACTTGTAACTGAACTATTCAAACAGCCAGTCAAACTAGGTAATCGCAAAATACACGCAAAATATATGACAGTCCGGTAAATGATAACGACTAATTAAATTAGTAAATCAAGGGAATGATGAAGGTTTCATGATTTTGTTGAAATATGTAAAAAAGTACAACTGAGTTCGGTACCCATTTGCCAGCGGTCGCCTGCTTCTTTTTAAAAAATCAGAGCGAAAGATGCAAAATATTCAGAGAAAAACTAAACAACATTGAAAATACTTCATGGAAATTTCTAAAGTATATGAAATTATCAATGAGAATAGATGAAATGAGAGCGAGGATTCAAAACAAAAAATTCAAAACTAAAAGGACACAGACTCAACTTAAAAAAGAAACGTTAATGAAAGATACCAAGCAAACCAGATCATTTCCAGAAGGCTAAAATGTACAAAACCTTCGAATTTTGAGAGGCAAAATCCCTCCAAATGCCAAGAAAGTAATTTAAAAGAAGGCGGTACTTATTTTCCAAAGTCCTCTGCCTTCAAACGCACGTGCTCGACAACAAACAACATGGCTGCAAACGGTAGGTCTCACATCTCCCGGTCAAGTGCTCCTTGGGTCGCGTTTTCCTCTGAACTTTCGATTTCGATTCCTCTCTCGGGGTGAGTTGCAAGAATTGCAGTGCTTGGGAATTGTTTGCAAGTGATTGTTTTATCTGTTCAAGACGGGAATATCCGAGAATTCGCGTGATAAGTGCCAGGGCAGGGAGAGGTGGCCATCGAGGCGACTGTTTTCTTCGTTTTCTTCTTCGAAGTTCAAGTTGAATGGACGTAAGAGTGTTGGAGGCTAAGTGTGAACATTTATTATTTCAAATGTGCGTTCTCGTAAGAATGTAATTATTCGAGAACAGGTGGAAAATAGACTGAAAAAGCCATTTTTCTCGGATCGATTTCAAGCATGGCGCGCATGTTGACATCCACAAGACTCAACAAACGCCTTTATTTCGGGAGGAATTTGACAGTATCACCCAGTGTCGTGTTCAGAGGGCGGCCCACACCCACATTATTTTTCGTGTTTTCATAAGGGTTTGCAAATAGTGCTTAAATTATCGTGGAGTCATTAAAGATGGGTGTTCGTAGTGTCCGCAAATTTTCTGCAATGACTGCGCTATTTTTTGCGGGATTTCCTGAGATTTCACTCGCTATTTAGCCTCAGTTGGTGCATGAAGGAGTAACCCCTTTTCTTATTACGTCTGACAATATGAAAGGAATATTATAGGGCTGTCCAGTTTGTTTATTTTAAACTTCTCTATGTACTTGTTATTGTTGATGTTCACATGTAACGAATTCGTGACCTTTCTGTAGAATTTGTTTACTTAAACCTCTGTGACTTATTTCTGTGTTGTCAAGAGCGTGAAATGTATATTAAGGATTACCACTTGCGAATCAGTCAGTCCTCAGATCAGCTGACTTACGGAACCTTCTCTCCTGCAGGAACGTTAGGGATGATGGAGGGTGAAGTCAAGAAGAAGAAGAGCAAAAAATCCATCGGGGAGCTGCACCAGGAAATGAGTTTTAAAATTGAACCTTCGGAAGCTCCTGCGAAGGTGCTGGACACGTCCGAATGGCCGCTACTTCTAAAGGTAAATTTCTTGTGTTTTTATGTTGAAAAAAGGATTGATATCTGTATGATGTAAGTAAAGTAAAGGAGTGAAAAGAATGATGAGAGTGCTTTGGTATTTAGTTTTCCCTGTGTCCACAAGAATTTATATATTTTGGTTTTCTGTTTGTACATGATTTTTAGCATTTTTGTATATATTGATAAGAATTGTAATGATTATACCAATGTGCATAAGAAATTATACTAATCTTACATTTTATCCTTAACACCTTCCAGAACTTTGATAGGTTGAATGTCCGTACAAACCATTACACCCCCTTACCACACGGATGCTCGCCTTTAAAACGAACAATATCCGAATACCTTAAAGCTGGGTTCATCAACTTAGACAAGCCCAGTAATCCTTCTTCACACGAGGTTGTGTCGTGGATTAAGCGTATCCTTAAGCTAGAGAAGACGGGACACTCGGGTACCTTAGATCCCAAAGTCACAGGTGAGTTGTAGGAGTTGAGCAGAAGTATTTGGTACTTTGTTGAACATTCCAAGTTTCTTGTAGGGTCTGAAGTGATTGAATAGATTAAGAAAGTGCAAAGCACTGCTATGGCCTCAGTTCTTCAGTCTTATAAACTCAACCAGCCATAGCAAAAGAATTTTTGTGTTTTTTGGTGCTGAGTGGGTAGACTCCATCTTGCAAGGAAGTTCATAAATAGATCATGAAGTGCAGAAGCCGTGGCACCTTTATTGCGGTTTAATTTCTTTCTCTTGTCTTTACAATGTCACTTTCAGAATGTATTATCATTAAATCGTGCTTTATGCGAGTAGTTGACCTAGCCCATTTTCAAATTTGAAGGTGAAAACATTATGAAGATATTATCATCTTGTCTAGATTTGTGATCCATCATCCAGGTATGCACTACATAGTATTTCAGTCCTTGTCAGGGTTATTCTAAATTTCTTGAACTGGAGCTCAGGACCCAAGTGGATGACAACAAGGTTTTTCCAACTTAAATTTTGTGATCTTTCTTTGCAGGTTGTTTGATTGTGTGTCTAGAACGAAGCACCAGATTAGTAAAATCTCAGCAAGGAGCTGGAAAGGAGTATGTCTGTATCTTCCGGCTTCACGAAAGTGTAGATAATTTAGCAAGAATCAAACAGGTTGGTAATAGTCTTGATCGTGGAAATAGTCACGGTCTTGAAATTCCTGTCAAGGAATTGTTGTGTTATCCCTCTTCTTTCCAATTGCATTTTTTTTTCTATCGTCTTTTGCATAACTTGTTAGCTGTTTTATAAGATGCTTAAAAGGATTGTTGTAATCTTTGATTTTTGTATTAGTCTAATTGCTTGTAAAAGGATGCTAGCAGATTTATTCTTCAAAAAAGTTAATGTAATTTGTATATCATAGTTGTAGTCATTTTGGTAATGCAAAGTGAGCTGGTTGATAAAGTATGTAAATATGATTGTAATGTGAATAAAATTTTCCTTTGAATAGCCAGTTTGCAGTGATAAGATGTATAAATGAGGGAAAGTAATACAATTTAATATCAAAATGTAAAAAGTTTTACCCATCGTAGGGCACTGAACACAGATTTAAAGTTATAGGCAAAGAATGCTCAATATCCTTTTAAAAGCTTAAGCAGCCATTATACAAGCTGAACAGGAGCTTGTTTCAAGCTGACTCGTGTGACCATTACTTCCCACATGTCAAAGGTCGTGCTTTACGTATGCATGTCTGTAGTGAGGAGAAACGTCCAAGGAATACAGTGCTGTCACTTTATTCCGTCATTCTAAATGCTGTAGCTGGATGGCACATCCAACTGTTCCTTTCAAGAGTTATGCCACCAGAAAAAAACAATAACAAAAAAAAATACGGGTTCTTCCCACCCCATCAGCAGTACTGAGCTGGAGTGTTCTTTTCACACAGTTCCAGAGGCCGCCACTTATCTCTGCTGTGAAGCGTCAGCTCCGCGTCCGGACAGTGTATGATAACAAACTCATTGAGTATCCGGAGTATGTATGCTATGTTACATATCTTGGCTTTTGCCCGCAGAGTGAAAGTTTTATTTTTTATTTTTTTTTGTTCAACTTCAGTATGTTTTTCATTAGATGGTAAAATACATGGTTAGCATGCTCTCTTGA